CAAACCAAACTTTGGGGAATTGCTTATATATTTATATTTGAAGATGAACTATAATAAAAAAATAACTATTATCGAAAGAGCTATCTCACCTGGACGTTGTGCTCCTTCACAGCTGATGGAATAATCTCGGAGCCAAAATCATTGCAAGAAGGATAGCTCCACCTTAATAGCTTCAGTAGGACATCAGTTCTGAACACATAAACACCCATCGATGCAATATAAGGAGATTTCATAGCCTCCAGATCAGAAAGCCCCAGAACAGTGGTGTCAACTTGCTGCAGTGTGTAAATAAGACATAGACAAAAAATAAAAACAGGGGAAGGAACAAAAATACAGTAAAAAAGGGAAGAAAGCACAAAAATACAATCAAAATAAGCAGTTTTAACTACCATTGCTTCTAGGTCAGGGCCTTTTGGTTTTTCAGCAAATTGGATTATACGCCCTAACTGGTCTATTTTCATAAGTCCGTAATCTGATGCCCGGCTGCAAGACAAATAAGATCCACAACAAAGACAAGCACCTGTCAGTCATATTTCCAAGGTGGAACAAAAGAAGCAGAGTTTATTTTGAACATATGTCAATCTACAAGGGACGCTTGAAACAGTAGTATTAGGAAACGAAAATGTACCTTTCATCCATGGGTATACATGAAACTGTAATGTCGGCATTTGTATCAATATGTTTCTGTAAGAATTACGGCCATTGATGAGATGGATTTGTGGATTTTAAAAGGTTAAAAAATTAAAATTTCCACCAGCATCAAATAAGCACCTGTATAAAGTCCAGATAGTCCATCCTATATAGATGATCGCCTGATAATATCAGTATATGCTCCACATTTTTGTTCTTTGCATCCTGCATAGATCATCCAAAAGCAACTTCAGTCTATTTCCACCTAATATTCGGGAAATACTTGTAAAATCAAAAGCACCCACCTCAAAGACCCATATAAATTGCCTGACAGCATCAGCAGTTCCTTGGAACCATCTCTTTCCAGCTTCTCCCGGCGTTTGCGTGGCAGCCAAAACCTATTGCGATTCATTGAGTATTATCATCATTAATTGCAACAATCAAACAACGTAAGTCAACATACAAATTGTAAACTGCGGAATAACAGAATCAAATATATCTATGCTGCTTTCGGGTATTGCAAAATTATCTTACCTCCACAAATCCATCTCCGAAATTCATACCATCCCCAAAATTGTAAGTACGAGCAAGGTGACGATTGAGGGAAAACGAGTTATATTGCGTTAATATGAATATCTTTTTAATGCCACTGTTAATGCAATTGCTCATTGGGATATCAATCAGCCTGTAACACCCTCCAATCGGAACCTGCAATCCACATAACATTGCAAAATTCAACTCCAAATTCTATGTCAGTACCATTCAATAACAACAATTCCTACTCGATGCACAAAATTTCCATCGTTTTGTTTCTTTTCTAAGAAACCACTTTTCGATATGATGAACTGAAACGAATGACAAACAAATACTGATCTCTTACCGCCGGCTTGGCTCTCTTGCTGGTGAGAGGAAAAAGGCGAGTTCCGGCACCTCCACCCAAAATTATAGAAGCCACATTTTTGGGGTCAGCTTTTGGAGTCTCAAACAGTGGTGCCTGAAACGTCTGAAATCAAAAGTACAAATGCCAAAAGTGATTACTCAAAAAACCCAAAACATCAAAATCCCAAAGATTTCGGTTTCGAAAACAAGAACAACAATTGCACACACGGATCAGAGACTCACCACATTCTCATTGTCGACATCTGTAAGAATGGAGTAAGCCACACCAGGCGGCTTAAGCTTCCTACCTCTGGTTTCAAATTTAGAGCTTTTCAGAAACTGGGCACTCAAATCTCTGCTCTTTGAACCCAACCTCACACCCTCCCCCAAGAACCCATTGGTCCTCAATGTCGCACAGCAGGAATCCATAGCACAGAAACGAAAAAGCACACGACTTTCCAGAGATTCTAGTATTGTATGACCCCAAGGGTTTTTAACGCAACAGGAAAGAAAAGCACTTTTCAGAGAAGCCCCACAAACATGCACAGGATCAAAAAGGAAAAGCACCCAGAAGATCAGAGGCAAAATTAGGAATTCCCGGATCGGGAAACTCGTAAATTAGAAAGAATGAGAAAACCCCAGATGCCAAAAAGATGAAAACTTGAATGTAACCCTCGTCTAACGAAGGCGTGACCAAATGAGAGGTGATCAAAAATGGCAAGTGGAAGAGAGTGAATGCCGGTGGCTGATGACGGTACGTGATTTTGGTGAGTGAATGCGTGAGGGGCGTCACGGAAAAATTAAATTAAATCAAGGGATTAAATTAATGGATTTTTTCAAGTGTGGACTAGTTGGCAACTGGAAATGGTGAGTGACAGATGCCAGTCTGATCGAGTGCGTAGGATTCGCAACTCTGTCGGCTTTTTGAAACAGTCGTCGTATCATTTGTTTATTTATATTATATTTTGGATTTTTTTTTTCCCAACGAAGAAAATAAGAAGTTTTAATGAAAAACTCACGGTATTATTTATTTTAACGAAAAATCATACTTTTACATTAAAAAGTCAATCCTGATACTATTCATTTTACCCTTTATTTTGTCTTTATCGTTAAAACTCAAAATTTTCAAATCATTTTCATTAGTTTTCTTAAGAAAATATCTCCTTAATTATACAAGTCATACAAAGCCCGACAACTCGGTAAAACAAGTATCATAATATAATTAGTTTGATTTTTTTTTTTTGAGTTTTTAACTAATTGTATTATAACATTTGATATATCAAATCGTGTTCTTAACGCATTAAAATTTCTCCTTTTCATAAATGATGAAGTGGCCTTTGTTAATTGGTTTGATTTATTTTGTTTCTTTTTACAATACTTTCCCAAAAAATTGTTTAAAGGTTAAAAAAAAAAATTGTTTAAAATCAAAATTCAAACTTAAATACCGAAGACAGACACACTTCACACGCAACTGAGTTTGATTATTCAATGTATTAACGTGGTCACGTATGACTGATGCTAACAGGAAGCTACCATGTATGGCATTGTCATCGTCTTCTACAACTACTCAACGGTGAGTCTTGCATTTGTATGTTGGCAGTTAATGGAAACTCTCCCGTTACGTTTTTTTTCCAAGAGTATACTAATGTTTAAGGAATATTATTATATTTGTTAGTCGAGCGATATGGACCGTCCATTGTAGGCGTGTACGTAAAACGTGGGAGAAATAGAAGAGATTTTTCAATGTGATCGGAATATGAGATTGTATATTACGTGTCATAATAAAAAGGTAAGATATGTGTGTTAAAAAGTTAATAAATTAAAAAATATAATTTTCTATCACTTATATAAAAGTACTTGATGTACCATCTGTGTTCCGATCATAATAAAAAATTTCTCAAGAAATGAACGGCTGATATTTGTGAGATAGGGAACCAACTGAGCAGTGGCACCCACCACCATGTGCTTTTCATTTACAACAGTATCTCCATTTTTGTCTCCCACATCCTCCTCACCCGATCTGATAAAGTGAAAGGGAACGTAAGGATTTGGATACGAGTTTAAAACAAGAAGAAAAAAGCACATGGGGTTTCTAATTGGTTGCAGAAATTTCGAGTTCTAGGAACTTATCTGCCCAATTGCCTGGGTTGTTTTCAATCAAAATTTAATTGCAAAGACGGAAACGCATGTCATTTAACTTAGTTACGTTAAGATTTGCATTAATCTTTAAACTTTCAGAGAATTCAAGTGTTTACCTATTATTTTAACAAATGATAACGTAACATATTTACAAGAGTTTTACAATGCCGTGCTGTGCGCAATGCCCCCAACAAAAATATTCCAAAGCTAATTACAAAATACACATTCTCGTCATTCATATGATTCATCGACTAAAATCCATCGTCACACAACAATAATTGAGGAGGCACTTGGAACTTGTACATTTTACATACAAGGTGGATACATATAGAACAATACAGAATTTGCATGGGAAATGAAGGGGAACACCCGGCACAACCTCATTGCCCGATCAAATCACTCTTTCAAGCTTATCTTAGTTTTTGTGAATTGTGCTTCAATCACATGGTGGCACATGGTGTCCCTCCTATTTTCAGTTTGTTGAGAAGACTAAGAAGAGGTAGGCCATGGCTAATAGATACGAATCCGGATCTTCGTCGGATTCTTTTTGTAAAGATATAGGAAATTTGTAAATTATGTTCGTTTATCGTACATTGTATGATCAAAAATTAAAATTTATTTAAAATTAAACACAAATAGTATTTGACAAAAATTAATCGTACAATGTACAATGAACGGACACGATTGACAGATCTTTAGAATCCTCATCAAAAGATTCGGAGACGAACCCGTTGGAATGGATACTAGTACATTATTATATGTAGCCTTGTGAACCATACACGTAGCAGCTGAGCTTAGTCGTATGTTGTTGTTGTCGGGGTACCATCGCTTTTGAAGTTGGCGGGATTGCGATCGTTTGAGGGGAATTTTGGGGGCCACGGGTCACCGCAGGCTCTGCATCATGTCGATTTGTTCCATCTACTCCACCACACTGTAGACGTATATTCGGTACGTGCGTAGGCCGTAAAAGGTCGAATTAAGGCGTCGTTTTAAGATACGTATCAGATTATGATTTTCTAATAAGATATAATTGTTATTTTACTTTCAAAACCAAACAGTGTCCTTCAGGCTTTAGTAGTGAAAAATTAACTAGCAACCAAATTTACTCAACACAGACGAGTCACGAATGAAAATTAACGAATTTATATGTGAAGGTAAATTATTCAGGACCACGTGGCTGTCCGGCCAAGACTCGTGCACTCATTTGTCGTGACCTACTGGGCTTCAAGGGTTTACACTTGGTGGGCTTCTGAACAAATTTGTCAACTTGGTCTCGGATAAATGATAGCTCAATCCAGTTGGCTTTATAGCCCAAAACAAAGCCCATAGGTCCTTACTGTTATTCACCAGAAAGTAGGGGCAGTTCAGTAAATTCGCTTCGTATAACCACATAAACCTCATCTTCTTCATCATCCGCTCCGTCGTTTCCCAAACACACAGAAATGGCGCTCAATCTAACCACCTCATTCCTCCGAGGAACACCCTGCCCCTCTCTCCTCCCGCGCAAGAAGGTAAATTACCCAAATACCCTCGCATACATGTCTTCCTCTGTCACCGATTGAATTTGTTAATTGATTATTTCGGTCTTTTCCAGGTCTGCGGCGGCGGCGGGTCGTCGGCGGGGAATTGCCGCTCTGTGGTGACGTGCAGGAAGAAGGACATACACCCGCAGTTTTATGAGGACGCGAAGGTGTACTGCAAGGGGGAGCTGGTGATGACGACGGGTGGGACCCAGAAGGAGTACGTGGTGGACGTGTGGTCGGGCAACCACCCCTTCTACCTCGGAAACCGGTCGGGCATGCTTGTCGACGATGACCAGGTCGAGAAGTTCAGGAAGAAGTACGGCGAGCTGAGTCAGATCATGGAGATCCCTGTCCTCAAGGGAGAGATTATTCTGCCCTCCCGCCGCAAAGCCGCCGCCGGCAAAGGCGGCAAGAAGAAGTAGAACAATGGTTTTCTTATTCCATGTAAGATTTTAGGTAAAGCAAAAAAATTGAAGCTTGGAAGCATGTGATTTATGAAAAATGAGTAGAATTCAATGCATATTATGTGTTTATTATGTTAATATCTGTCTTTTTTTGCTAATTTAATTTACAGTTTTACATTGTGGAGCTGTGTAATGTTGAGAAAATTAGTCATCAAATTGTGCGTTAAGCCAGTTGGTCGGGGCAGTGTGCCCGCAGCCTTGCACATCGAGTTCGAATTGCACTTCGTAGTTTAAAGTATCACGTTGTTAGGGAAAAAATTGAAGCCAAAACGAATGCCAGTTCCCCTGTGTGGTGACTTTAGTTGATAAAAGGAAACGAGCAAGTGATGTGCTCCGGTGCGGTTAACTGCACAGTTTTTGTGATGCAAATATGTTGTCGATGTTCTTCATACTGCTGATACTTCGAACTTGCATTTGTTGACATGCGATCCATATGTATACGTTTCTTGATTTTTTGTCTGATAAACTTGACTGCAGTTTTTGAGAAGTGAAGTTAGAAGTTAGGACCCTTGATTAGTTTTCTCGTCTGATTGCACAGTTGTTTTAATGACCCTCTGTTTATCGTATTCATTCGAAGATTGTGAACCCAATTCGTTGGATTGGGAACGCGTGTTATAGTTATGCTGTGGATCTTACATGTCATAGTAAGTAGCAGAAGTAGTTCTGCAGCAGTATTATTATGCTTATTTTTTGCAAAGTGCAGCAAAAGAAACATTGATGATGATGTGCAGCTGAATTATTTGGTGAGTAGTACTAGGCTAGCTTTGTAGCTTTTGTTTACATTTATATAACTGGATGTATGTCGAAGCTCCAGGTTGAAGATACTGCTGCCTGCTGCTGTTCGTTGATCATGAATCAACATCTGAAGTAGCAGAAGCAAGCAACTCCGGGGAATTGAGCGTGACAAGCTCCGTGCAAAGCACCTTCCCAGTTTGTGCATTGACGGTTGCAGTTTCCGGTGTTTGCGCAAAACCCTGACCATGTTTTGCTACGCCTTTGGCAGATTCTTGCTTCCACCATTGCCACCTCTACATCTCACAAGTCACAAACAAAATTTTATCATACATAGAATTTGAACATGAATCGTATAACACACGCACTCACACAAACAAGCACGAGCTTTACGAAAGAAATGAATAACTATATGCATGTGAATTTGGAATTGAATGAATACGGCATACCGGTGGATGCGAGAAGGATAAGAAGGAAGACGAAGACAATGAGAGGAATCGATAAACGACTGAGTAGCTTAGCCATTTTTGACTATCTTGTTCTGGAAGTGAAAGATGTGGTTTGAATTGCAGGTACTCTGATTTGGTGTTATTTATGGGCTGAATAATGTAGATTAGATCAGCTTGAACATGTCTTTGAAGTCCATCTTCGATGTGATAAACATGGACAGAGCATTGCGTAGCGATTCGGCTGCATCTGGTTGAATTCAAATCTTGTTTCATTGTTTTGGCAATGTTCATTTGTTTCTACTGGTTGATGTTATTTAGAGGTTGAATAATGTAGATTATGTCAGCTTGAGCAAGTCTTTGAATTCCATCTTCGATATGATAAACATCGACAGAGGATTGCGTTACGAATTCGGCTGCATCTGGTCGGGCTAAAATCTTGTTTGTCATTGTCTTGGATTCTTTGCGGGGTCTATTGGCATTGCTATTGCCTTGGAGGCAGAACTTAAAGCTATTATTTAGGCTGTTTATATGGCTTTGGAGAGGGGTTGACATTCTCTTTGGATTGAGTGTGATTATTGTTTGGGCATTGTATTTTCTGTCTAATAGACATTCTTAGGCGCCTTGGCATTTATCCGTTGATTGGGTAAATTGTTGTACCATTTTCCCTTCCATGCATGTTCGGTTTTCTCACATTTATCGCAAAAGGAATCAGGTTGTGGATTGTTTGCAAACTATGGTGTTGATCACGTTAGGGCTCATTGGTGGGATTCTTGTCCTTTATGTGCAATTGTTGCTTTTGCTCATAATATTTTGGGGCTTCCAAATTTTCGTTTCTCTTAGGAGGTGTCCGAACTGATTTTTGTTTCTATAGTTTTTTTTACTTCTGGTTAGGGTTTGACTTTGTGTCCTCTCTAACTGTGAGGGTTTGACTTGTAGTTTGAGTTTATTTCTATTGTTTTTTTGTTTCTATGAGTGTTTTAACCATGAAGTTTAATTTTCAGAACAATTTAGATCCTTTATTTTCAATCTCAGTCATCCATTTTCAGTATCATTCAATGTTAATTGACCTTCTACCTTTTTGTGAAAGATCAAGTGTCAGTATTTGATCACAGAAAATTTCATGAAAAAAAAGGGACTAAAAATGTGAGTGTGAACCCACGTTTTCTGTTAAAAATGTAATATTTTTATTTTCGCAAAACATTTTCCATGAGTATAACGAAAAACTTTGTAAGCCATGTGGAAGTTGTTACATCTCGGCCCGGGACGGATCATTTCCCGGGCTCGCTCCACTACTGTAGCACGATATTGTCCGCTTTAGGCCCCCACCACGCCCTCACGGCTTTGTTTCTGGGAACTCACACGAGAACTTCCCGATGGGTCACCCATCCTGGGAATGCTCTTGTGCGCTACTCGCTTAACTTCGGAGTTCCTATGGAACCCGAAGCCAGTGAGCTCCCAAAAACCTCGTGCTAGGTAGGGATGAGAATATACATTTAAGAATCACTCCCCTAGGCGATGTGGGATGTCACAATCCACCCACCTTAGGGGCTCGACGTCCTCGTTGGCATACACGCGACTAGGGTTAGGCTCTGATACCAAATTGTCACATCCCAGCCCGGGGCAGATCAATTCCCAGGCCCGCTCCACCACCATAGCAAGATATTGTCCGCTTTGGGCCTCCACCATGCCTTCACGGTTTTGTTTCTGGGAACTCACACGAGAACTTCCCGATGGGTCACCCATCCTGGGAATGTTCTCGCACGTTACTCGCTTAACTTCGGAGGTTCCATGGAACCCGAAGCCAATGAGCTCCCAAAAGGCTTTGTGCTAGGTAGGGATGGGAATATACATTTAAGGATCACTCCCCTGGGCGATGTGGGATGTCACAATAACCCGCAGGTCCTAGGGTCGAAACTTGGCTCTGATACCAAATTGTCACATCCCGGCCCGGGGCGGATCACTTCCCGGCTCCGCTCCACCATTGTAGCACGATATTGTCTGCTTTAGGCCCTCACCACGCCCTCACGGTTTTGTTTCTGGGAACTCACACAAGAACTTCCCGATGGGTCACCCATACTGGGAATGCTCTCGCGCGCTACTCGCTTAACTTCGGAGTTCCCATGAAACCCGAAGCTAGTGAGCTCCCAAAATGCCTCATGCTAGGTAGGGATAAGAATATACATTTAAGATCACTCCGCTGAGCAATATGGGATGTCACAGAAGTGGATTTACGATATATTGAGCCACAAATGTATATCTAATAGAATATTTAAGCTCAAAACTAAAAAAATGAGTGAAAAATATAGTAGTGAGACCCAAAAATGGGTTCTTCCCTCAAGAAGCTTAAGTCTTACCTTAATTTTCAAAACAGTGAGGCAAAGATGAAAATAAATAGATTGAATGATGATTTAAATACGACTGGGCAAAGATCTAACGTGGTACTGATCTTTGCCAATTCCATTTTTCTTATTTATTTTCTGCTTTTTTGTTTATTCCTTTGAGTTTTTTCTTCGTACATTACTTTATATGAGTAATCACTATTAAATTCAAATATCTTTAAATTTAGGTTTTAAATCATTGATTACAATTGTTTAAATATGTACGATAATAGATTTTGCATGAAAAAATATATTTTGAAGAATATGAGTTTGATAGTTTGCTGTTATGGTGAGAGAACTAAAACAAACATAAGCGAAAAAACAAAAACCCAAAAACTAAAAAGAAAAATTGAAAAGAGGGGTTCGGTATGAAGAGAGCGATTCATTGATGGAACTGTTGCTAATACGATAGCGACAGTTAGGGTCAACAATCGGTAGCTAAGTACTGATCGTATCCTTTTCTATTTCATTTATTTATTTGGAAGCAAGTTTACGATTTATTGAGCAACAAATGTATATTTAGTAGACTATTTAAGTCGAAAACTAAAAAAACAAATGAAAAATATAGTAGGGAGGCCCAAAACATTGTTAAACTGGCGTTCTACCCTCAAGAATAGAACAAAAAGTATTACTATAATCTTCAAACTTTGTGGTGAGGTGAAGGTGAAAAATTAACAACGATATATGGACGAAGTTGTAGAAACTGACTAAAAACAGTTTTTTTGTCAAAATTGCAATATTTTTATTTTCGCGAAATATTTTCAATGACCATTAAGGAAAATTTTATAAGGCATTTGGAAGCGGATTTACGATTTATTGATCAACAAATGTATATTTAGTAGAGTATTTATGTCGAAAACTAAAAAAATAAGTGAAAATTAAAGTAGTGAGGCCGAAAACATTGTTAAAATACGGTTCCACCCTCAAGAATATTAATGAAAAGTATTAATTTAATTTTCAAATTTAACGTTGAGGTGAAAGTGAAAATAAATAGTTCGAACGACGATTTATATACGAATTTGTAAAAACCCACTAAAAACTATCAGTGTTAACCCACGTTTTTTGTCAAAAATGTAAAAAGAAAAATTTCGCGAAATATTTTTTGCGAGCATTAAGCAAAATTTATAAGGCATTTGGAAGCGGATTTACAATTTATTGAGCAACAAATGTATATTTAGTAGACTATTTAAATCAAAAACAAAAAATAAAGGAAAAATATAGTAGTGAGGCCCAAAACATTATTAAAATTGCGTTCCACCCACAAGAATATAACGTAAAGTATTACTATAATTTTTAAACTTCACGGTGAGGTGAAGGTAAAAATAAATAGTTTGTATGACGATTTATGTACAAATTTGTAAAAACTGACTAAAACCAATCAGTGTTTACCCATGTTTTTTGTTAAAAATGCAAATTTTTTATTTTCGCTAAATATTTTCTGTGAACATTAAAGAAAATTTTATAAGGCATTTGTAAGCGGATTTACGATTTATTGAGCAACAAATATATATTTTGTAGAGTATTTGAGTCAAAAACTTAAAAAAATAAGTGAAAAATATAGTTCTGAGGCCCAAAACATTGTTAAAATAAGGTTCCACCCTCAAGAATGTTAACAGAAAGTATTACTTTAATTTTCAAACTTAACGGTGAGGCAAAGGTGAAAATAAATAGTTTGAACAACGATTTATGTACGAATTTGTAAAAACTGACAAAAAACCGTGAGTGTAAGTCAAAAAGGAAAATTTTTTATTTTCACGAAACATTTTCCATGAGCATTAAGGAGAATTTATAAGGCATTTGGAAGTAGATTTACGATTTATTGAGCAACAAATGTATATTTAGTAGATTATTTGTGTCGAAAACTAAAAAAATAAGTGACAAATATAGTTGTGAGGCCCACAACATTGTTAGAATTGGGTTCCACCCTCAAGAATACAACAAAAAGAATTACTATAATTTTTAAACATCACAGTGAGGTGAATGTAAAAATAAATAGTTTGAATGACGATTTATGTAGGAATTTGTAAAAATTGACAAAAAACAATGAATGTTAACGCACGTTTTTTTTGGTCAAAAATGCAAATTTTTTATTTTCTCGAAAATTTTTCTGGGAGCATTAAGGAAAATTTTGTAAGGCATTTCAAAGCATATTTACAATTTATTGAGCAACAAATGGATATTTAGTAGTGTGACAGCCCGTCCCGAAAATATCAAAACGTACGTGTGAAAAGACTATTTTGCCCCTAGTTCGATTTCATTACGTTTATTGGTTGTTTTTGTGTTGTGTTGGCATGTTTTGGGCCACACACACACTCCCACACCTGCACACCCTTCTGTCCCTTTCCCTGTCTCTGTCCCGAGCCCCTTTCCCTTCCCATTCACCATATACGTACGGACACATACCCAAAACCATCAAAACACCCACAGATCGAAGGAACCAAGCACATATTCGAGCTCGTGAGGCTCGTACGAGTCCAACCATACCATTTCCAGGTAAGAACTCCATCGTTTTCACGTCGATTCAACAATGTCCGATTTGAGGTACTATTCATGCACACGTGATTTCTCACGTTTTAGGAAATTTCAAGCTTGTAGGAAGCTTGGCGAGGTCCCAAGGAGGCTCGGAGTAGTTCGTTTGAAGGAATTGGACGTCGGGATCGTTGGTTTCGAAGTTGGTCGGAGTTGGATCGATTTTGCATGTGAGATTTCGTGGTTTTTAACCCTTGAAAGTTGTATGATTGTGTTCCTCTAGTCCTAGGCTTCATTTTGGTACCAAAATTATGAAAATTGGATGAAAAACGAAGAAGATATCGAAGTTTAAAGTTTTCACGATTTTCCGGCACCGGCGACGGCGCCGGAGGCTCGCCGGGGAAGAAGACGGAATATTCCTGACGCCGTTGACGGAATCCGTTAGGGATAACGGAATATTCCCTACGGCGTCAGTTGACGCCGTCAGCGTGCCAGGCACGTGCCTGCGCGGGTGGCCGTGCCTTGGCCGGCGCGTGGGGGCGCGTGCGGCGGTGGAAAATTTTTCTAAAAATTTTGGGATGTTCGTGAGGTTGAGTAGATCACGTTGGTGTATTCATACACCCCATTTGAGCAATGTATGAGAAGTTATTTCGAAAGTTTGGTTATGTGCTTTAAAATTAACGTTTTTATAGTTATTTCGCATATAGGTGAGACATATCCCGAGGACGAGCGTGGTCACTCGAGGCAGGGGGGCTACGACCCTTCCACTTATCAGTGAGTGGGCTTTTGGTTTTCCGTATATACCTATATACTTATATTTACCCAGAAATTGATTTAAATGTTTATTAGTTATATGCCATGCATTATATTATCGTCATTATGCATTATTAGTTGCATTATTGGGTGTATATATTTATATACATATGCATATTTGGTGCTGTGGACGCACAGGTAAGTGTCAGGTAAATGTTATTCATGTTTACTTTTAAATGGTGATTCGAGATACTTAGAGAGCTCATAACCTGCACCCCCGGTGTTAGTGCTCCCGCCCAGAGTAGGGCACAGTCCTTCACGTGTTGTTCACCTCTCGCACCACACGCTCAGCTTGTATCCAAGTTAGGTGCACAGTCCTGTCGTACAGACCACTCTAGGTGGTTCCGACTCGTAGGTGACCCACGATTATTCGCACAGCCT